TGCCACAACACACCTGCCGGGAAGTTTCTAGTATGCCTAGTAAGAGCTTGATTAGCTGGTTCAGGTGTGTTTGATTAGGGTTGGAGCTAAACTCTGCAGGACACCGGCCCTCCAGGACCGAGTTTGGGCACCCCTGGGCTATACAGTGAAGATAATCAGAGTATATGTGCACACTGCACATATTACCTAAACCACATATTAATATATTTTATATTTTTAAAATGAAAACGAAATGAGTTGTGTTTTATATTTAGAAGAAAACGACAAGGCAGCGGTGCTTGATAGGCTATCATTTCATTTTATTGTAATACGTGTATTTGTTGCATGAACCACATTTTTGTGAGCCTATTAATATTTTAAATGAAACAGAAAAGAGGCAATGCGTTTTGATATAATATTTTGTTTCACTGTAATGTATGTATGTTCCCTGAACTAAATTTTTGTGGCTATTAATATGATTAAATGAAAACGAAAAGAGGCAGTGATGTTTGATATCATATTTCGTCGTATTGTATACATACAGTGTGGATAACCGGAGTAGCCAAGGCGAGCTGACTGATGTTATCAAGTACACTGCTGTTCCATTTGCAGAATTACCGGACGTGTGTCCTCCCATCCCCAGGAGTTCGCACTCCCGAGTTGAACTTGCGAAGTCCGAATTACCAAGGACGCAAGTCCGAACTTTGCGTACTTGGTATTGAGATACAGCTTAGGACTGCGGATATACAAACCATAAAACAAAGCAAAGAGACTTTATTGGTTTTTTCCGGTTTTTTTTTTTTTCTTTTTTTTCAGTACACTCGTTTGCCAAGCCGAACAGCCAATCAGAGTGATCCCTCTTACAAAATATAGTCTGGGCCTCACATTGGCCGACAGCAATCCTTCAACTTTAGAATACAGCATAAGCTTGATGGCCATCATTTCAAACAGCCTTTGTGTGGAAAGTCCACCTTTGACCCTCAGTAGGCCGCTCACTAGGTTTTGAAACAAAGATACAGTGATGTTATCTTTCCAAAATGACACCATAATCGCTCAGAATTAAGACAAAATTCAAATAATATTTATTTCAAGGCAATAAATCTGATACTTTGTCTTTCAGAGCGGTGAAAACCGTGTGCCCACTCCAGCATCGGCAGCCAGCGCCGAGCTGCACTCCCAGAATGCCGTGCCTGATGTACCGCCCAGCAACACTAAAACAGAAGAGCAAGAATACGACATATGCATCAAAACGGAGCCCAAGATGGAGGTGTGTTTTGTATATATGTTTTCAACACTGATTAAAAATTAAAAATATTTCTTAAGCAGCAAATCAGCATATTAGAATAAAAATCTTTCCAACCCAGATTTTCATTTCAGTCTCAAATTTTCATGGTTGTTCTACCTTTGTTAGACGGAGGACGACACAGGCTCCCTACTGGTCAAAAAGGAGGAGCCGGAGGGGTTGGAGGCTAAGCAGGAGCCAATGGAGACCGAGGACAAGAAGACAGACTTGAAGATGGAGACCAAAGAGGAAGATGAAAGCAAGACGAACGGTACAGCGTCCTCTTCACCGTCTCAGTCACGCAGGAAAAGTATGAACTGACATTTCTCTGCTTTCTTTTCTGTTGGCTCTACATTTATTTGTCTTCGTAGTCTTTTTATTTCTGTTGCTTTCTTTAATCTTACTTATGTCCCTGTCTTCTGTATTTCTCTCTCTTCTCAGTCTTTAAGCCAGAAGAGTTGCGGCAGGCATTGATGCCCACTCTGGAGTCTCTGTACAGGCAAGATCCAGAGTCTCTGCCCTTCCGGCAGCCTGTGGACCCCTTACTTCTTGGCATCCCTGTGAGTCTCACATACATATATGCATGTATCTTTATTAAATCATATGTGAAGACTGATTTGACTGAACTATGAAGGTGTTTCCTTTCATGCCTTCAGGACTACTTTGATATCGTGAAGAACCCCATGGACCTGTCCACTATCAAGCGCAAACTGGACACGGGTCAGTATCAGGAGCCGTGGCAGTACGTAGATGACGTGTGGCTGATGTTCAACAACGCGTGGTTGTACAACAGGAAGACGTCGCGTGTGTACAAGTACTGCTCCAAACTGGCTGAGGTGTTCGAGCAGGAGATCGACCCCGTCATGCAGAGCCTCGGTTACTGCTGCGGAAGGAAGGTGAGATGAACTGACATTCAGTTCAGATTCGGTTGTCTTATGAATTCCACATAGCTAATAATAACAATAATAATAATATGTAATTATTTTTTACAAATGTATATTAAATATACTGTTGTTAATTAAATAGTTGTACAATAATAATAATAATAATAATGTGGAAATAAGTGTATCTTAAATACATTATTGTTTATTAAATGGTTGTAACAACAATAATAATGTGCAAACTAATGCATTATTGTATAATAAATGGTTATACAGCATTGCTTCACAGTACTAGTAGTACTAATAAAAATAATAGTAATATGCAAATAAATGTATACTAAATGTTATTGTATAAATTGAATAATAAGTGATTATACAATATCTCTCCACAAAAATAATAATAATGTGAAAATAATAACTATAATCTGTAATAATGTTAAAATAAATATATTACTGAATAATAAATGCAAAAATGTGAAAATGCTAATTATTTGGAATTATGGAGGTGTAAAAAAGAAAGTGAGTATCTTAACAATAATTTCTGGACATTAGTCATTTTTATGTATGTTTGTTCACCCATTCAAATAATGCAGCTGTAATATTTTGTTTATTTAAAATAATATTAATACAACAGTAGTTATGTTAGTTTTGAACCTCCAGTATTTTGATGCTAGCTATTCAACTCCTGGTCGACTGCACAGATACTCGATATAAACAGACTTTTTCGGTCATGTGTCTCTCTTTTCTCCTTTCCTCCCACAGTACGAGTTTTCTCCTCAGACACTGTGCTGTTACGGCAAGCAATTATGTACAATACCCCGAGATGGCACTTATTACAGTTATCAGAACAGGTGAGATGATACACGTGCCCTTTCTTGAGGTAGAATTCATGTAGTCGACAGCCTTAGAAAACGTTTAGGAGGACACTCAAGTTGAAGCAGGCGTGCTCTCTGTCATGTGGCGTAGTTAGTTCAGTCGTGTGTGGTTTTTGACACACATTTGGCAGATCAGACATTAAACCTCCCTGTGTGGCTGTGTGTACACTAGCATAGTTTACTATCAGGCCTGTTCATATGTATTTTCTAAACATAAGACTGCTCGATTACAACCCCCTCCCCCTTTCTCTTTCTTCACGGATACACTGCTTGAAGTCTCCAGCCAGTCTTAATTTATTGGCAGTTGTAATATTTGCACTGGCACATTTATTAGTTCTTACTCATAACAGGCTCCCTTGCGCCCCCTGCAGCATAGAGCATGTCACTGCAGAACCTCCAAATAAGCTGATTGTCAAACAGACACAGCCGCTCTCGGTCTTGGTTTACTCACATCCAATTGGAACAGATTTGGAGAAATTTAGCCCTGCAGTGGATCCTCTGCAGTGAATGGGTACTGTCAGAATGAGTGTTCAGACAGCTGATAAAAACATCACAATAATCCACAAGTAATCCACACCACTCCAGTCCATCAATTAACATCTTGTGAAGCGAAAAGCTTTGTAAGAAACCAATCAATCATGAAGATGCTTTAAACTTCAAAACTGTTGTTTCTGGCTAAAATCTGAGTCCTCTATTCATAATATTGCTTTCTCCAGTGAAAAAGTCGTGTTGTCTAAATCAGGAGAGAAATATGCACAGATCAAACACAGTTTACAAGCAAAAACCAGAACAGTTCTAAACAAATATTTTGATGTGAGGACAACAGGGGATGAACTTTTTCACTGAAGGAAGCTTTATTATGGATTATGGACTCATATTTTGGCCAGAAATGACGGTTTAAAGTTAAAACGCCTTAATGTTGGATTAATTGATGGGCTGGAGTGGTGTGGATTACTTGTGGATTATTGTGATGTTTTTATCAGCTGTTTGGACTCTCATTCTGACGGCACCCATTCACTGCAGAGGATACATTGGTGAGCGAGTGATGTAATGCTGAATTTCTACAAATCTGTACAAACTCATCTACTTCTTGGATGGCCTGAAGATGAGTACATTTTCAGCAAATTTTCATTTCAGATGAACAATTACTTTAATGTTTCCCATTGAACCCTTGGAAGCCATTCACATTACGTTCACACTGTGATACTGATTACAGAATCGTACACATTTTATATTCTGTTTGGATTAATGAATAATAAACTCACTCTTGTGCGCATGTGCGCCTCTGTATATCTTATATCTTATATGTCTGTATATCTTATAACTGTTGTGTTTGTGACTATACAGGTATCATTTCTGTGAGAAGTGCTTTAATGAGATTCAGGGAGACAGTGTGACACTAGGAGATGATCCTGCTCAGCCCCAGACGTAAGTGATTGTTCACCTTCTCTTTTTGTGGTTATATTCAAGCTCAGTTGTGGAGATTTTATCACTTTAGTTCAAAATCATTCCGAATGATTAATTTTCTCCATTCCATAATAAACTGAATCATTTTTGAAAAGTTTTAAATGTTCAACAAATCTGATTTTTGGTCTTCTTTGTATGCAGCATGATCTCTAAAGACCAGTTTGAAAGGAAGAAAAATGACACGTTAGATCCTGAGCCGTAAGTAAATGCTCCACTTAATTTCCCAGAATTCCACGAGGCAACTATCAATGCGCTAGTAGCACATGCTCTAATAGTAGTGCTATACTGGGGTGTGTTTCCCAAAAGCATCATTAGCCAACTATGGTCGCAAGTTCCGTCGTTACCAACATAGTTCAACGATTCGGTGTTTCCCGAAACCATAGTTCAAACGAACATTCGCAAACAGCGTTACAAACTTACGTGGTTGGAACTACAGCTCTCAATCTGTGGTTAGAAGCATAGTTTCTTGTTAGCAAGGGATATGGGCTTAAATAAATATGCTCTTGGGCACAATAAGCAAGCTAACATGCAGTACAATCTATATAGTCCATTCTATCTAAATATAAATGCATTTTAATCTATGTATTTTTGCGTGTCCTCAGTAAGCGCCGCTTTTGAAGAGTGCGCATGTGCATAAATGCCTAAGGGAACCCCAGAGTATGACGTAAGAAAGAACCCGCGATGAATCAAACATCAAATAAAGCTAAATGACAGGGAACAAAAAATATTAAATTAGTCATCAGGTGCCATGTTCAATACAGCAGCATCTCAGAGGTCTCAAATCAATTAATTAGCAGAATGTATTGCTCCACCACATGCGTGTGACGTCAATAACAACGGCCCTAAATTGTTGAACTAATGTGATTCAAACGACGGAGATGCGACCGTTTTCGGGAAATAAATATGCTCTTGGGCACAATAAGCAAGCTAACATGCAGTACAATCTATATAGTCCATTCTATCTAAATATAAATGCATTTTAATCTATGTATTTTTGCGTGTCCTCAGTAAGCGCCGCTTTTGAAGAGTGCGCATGTGCATAAATGCCTAAGGGAACCCCAGAGTATGACGTAAGAAAGAACCCGCGATGAATCAAACATCAAATAAAGCAAAATGACAGGGAACAAAAAATTGTTAAATAGCAGAAGTTATTCCTCCACCACATGCGTGTGACGTCATTAACAATGGCCCTATGTTGTTGAACTAATGTGGTTCAAACGACGGACATGCGACCGCGTTCGGGAAACAGTCATAACTAGTTAGTTCGTTTCAACAACAATGCATCGTACTATGGTGGTTAATCAGCGAGTTACGTCATTGTACGGGAAACGCACCCCTGGTCGTTATTGGCTCATACATTTGTCCGCTCTGGACTCGATACACCACATGGCTTTTGCTCACTGGCGCCCCCTGCTGTCAACAACATAGGGCATAGAGACACTCCCACAACACGAACACAGCACTACAGTCTGCAAGCATCAGTATTATCCAGAAGTTGTCCAAATCCACACCTCCTACAAAGGCGCAGTTGCATTGGCCTGCTTGCAAATGCGTAAGAACTGGAGGAAAAGAAGCTGAATGATGTATTTCATATTAACTACCTGCTCTCGCAGTTAGTGACTACGCATTCAGACACTTGCTAAAATAGAAGCTGCCAGAATACAAAGGGCATGAAACGATTGCATCCCCCATTAATCAATTCTCCTCCTATCAGGTTTGTTGAATGTAAAGATTGCGGGCGGAAGATGCATCAGATATGTGTCCTGCATTATGAGTCCATCTGGCCTTTAGGGTGAGTTTGAAAGCACCTCAAGAGTGAACAGAGTTGCTCTGATATCGATTATGGATGCGTTGCGGGAAGTCAGCACTAATGAGCGTTTCTCTCTGCAGTTTTATCTGTGATAACTGTTTGAAAAAGAGCGGGAAGACGAGAAAAGAGAACAAGTTTTCGGCAAAAAGTAAGTAATAGGACTGTTTATGTGATGCATTAATGCTAAATAGATGGTTTACCTCATTTTGTCATTTGCTCACTCTCATGTTGTTCCAAACCTGTATGACTTTTGTTCATCTTTGAAACACAAATGAATGCATTTTTAATGAAACCTGGGAGATTTCTGTCCCTCCACTGAAAGTCCATGCAACCAAAAACTTGACAATTCTAAAAGTTCCTAAAGACATCGTAAATGTTATCCATATGATTTGAGTGTTTAAATCCATGTCTTCTGAAGAGACATGATCACTTGATATGATGAACAGATGTAGGCCCAATCCCAATTCTACCCCTTAGCCCTACCCCTCTGTTTCGCGCGTTCACGTGAAGGGGTAGGGGTGTCTCAATTCTCTTTTGGTTGGAGGGGTAGGGGTAGGGGAAGGGCCAGACAGCCCTTCAAACGAAGATTTTTCGGGACCACACTTCAAACGAAGGGGTATGAATTATCTCAGCGTAAACCGGGTTCAGGGGCAACATGGCTGCCCGAGCAAACAAAAAGACACATACATGTAAGCATTTTTGGCATTAATAAAGATTTTAACGAAAAGTAATCACGTAGTTTAGGCTTTTATTCAACATATAAGCATGGATCAACGCACATGCATAGAAGTCAATGGCAAACGGAAGCTCAAACATGCTTGCATCTGTTTACCATTCTTATTGGTGAAATCTCTCAGCTTTCAATAAAAATATCAAGTTTAATTTAAAACTATCTCTTTACAAGTGTTTTTGTACTAAATGCTGTTGTCTTCGATTCAGAGTTGCAGGCGACGCGGTTAGGCACGTACATAGAGGATCGGGTGAACAAGTACTTGAAGAGGCAGAACCATCCGGAAGCTGGAGAGGTGTTCGTGCGAATTGTAGCCAGTTCAGATAAAATGGTGGAGGTCAAACCTGGCATGAAGGCAAGGTAAACTTAAGCCGCTTTTCCACCGAAATTACTTGGAACAATTTGTCCCAGGAACTTTTTTTCCCCCAGACCTGTTGCTGTCTGCGTTTCCATCGCGGTCTAAAGTACCGTGAAGAATAGGCAAATAGTCTGGTGACGTAGGTCTGTGCGCGTTTCTCAATACCAAGTACGCAAATTTCGGACTTGCATCCTCGGTAGTTCGGACTTTGCGAGTTCGACTCGGGAGTGTGAAACCTGTTTTTGGTTTCATTTAAACATATTAATAGCCGCAGAAATGTAGTTCAGTATAGCCTACATTACAATGAAACGAAATATTATATCAAACAGTATTGCCTCTTTTTATTTTCATTTTAACATATTAATAGATTAATAGAATAAAGACCAAAGATTACCTGTTAGATTTACCCAAAACAAATTATATCTTATGTTTAACCACTAAAGAGACATCAGAGCCAGCGGCAAATGTCAGAAGCACTAGCCGAGTTGAGGCTGCTCTCGTCGGGAAACATGAGCACTGAGCCCCCGTTGATCGTGTGGCGCTCACGTCTCCGAAATTGGCGAAAAAACATTTTTAAATAGGCGCTGTCTTTATAAATAAACCGCAGATTTGAGTTTTAAACAACTACATTCTCGCCTGATGTACTTTTAAAACTACATTTCATGACACAATAACAGTAATATTTTGAAAATTATCCGAATAAATGGTGGTTGAAATACAATGCTGCGTGAACTCAACCAATCAGCATGCTCAGCGCCCAACAGGGTTTCCGCGGGGTCTCGGACCTTTGGAAAAGTACTA